TTGAAAACATCCAAACCCTATTAATCCTAAACTAATCTCCGCACTCCACAGTTCTCTGACGTTTTTAATAAAGTCTCTTGTCCTGTCATATCTACCTCGTTGGTTTTAAAGCCTCCTAATAAGAATCTAAAAATTGGAGGGCCCATGTTGATTTCAGAGTTGCTGCTGTTGCTGCAGGCCATGCACAGAATCAATAAAAGGTATCAATACYGAATCGATCTGTTGCAGGAGTCAAATGCTTTGCCATCCAATTACAAAGGCGTTTTAGGTCACTTTAAACCGTGAAAGACCTTTGCCTGATGCTTCATGAGATTCACAAAAAAAAAAAAAAATCAATATGTGAGTTTGATGCACTACAACTGTACATCCAGTTCTTTGGTTAAACTGACTGTACGTTCTTGTGTAYGTTCTATTGAATGCGTAAGAGTGATTTCAGGATTCTCAAAAACTCAGAAATACATCCAGCCAGTTCGTTGCGATGAGTGTCAATCAAATGCCAAAAGTGTTTTTGTGTTTTCTCGGCTCTGGGAACAAGTTGCTGACCGCTTTCCCGATCCCCTTTCCTGTTTTGTGTTGTTCGAGCGGCCCAACGTAGGGGTGGAGATAACGCTGATTTGTTCCCTGCCACCACCGCGGCATGTTTTCCTCTGTATCTCCAGTCCGCCTCTCTCTTCCAGTCAAGCTGCGTTCCAGGTGGGGGTGACAGAGCACAGCTCGCAGCCACAAGGCTGTCCAGGAAACCCGTGTCCTGTGTCCAAAAAAACATGTTTTGACCGCCTGCGCCACATCTGGAGGGATATTTACTCCTGAAGCCATTCACTTCTCCAGCAACATGACACAATACGCTTGACAGGATCTATTTACACAGCCTGCAAAGAAAAAACAGACAAGAAAAGCAAAAACATATTTTGCTCAAATGAAAGCATAAAAAGGTCACATGAAGCAGTTATGGTCATTTGGCACAGCTGAAACATGGGAGCAGAGCTATGTTTAGTAATTTGTTCGAAAAACAAAAGGTTACTTTATGGCAACTATAAACGAGCTGACATGTTAATAAAATATTTTTGGTCTCTTCACAATGCTTGTTAGTGTATCGCATTCGTGACAAGCAGCAAAACAGCCCAGTGATTAAACCGTTTAGTTGTGGTGTAATTTAACATAGCCTACTCAGCATCCAATAAAAACCTTAAGTATTGTATAAAACACACAGATCACATCTTTAACACAAGTGGATTCACATTTAATACTCTTTTTAGTGACAAACTAAATAATTCAGAAACTCTGTAATTACATGCACCAATGCCTTTCCTCTTTAATGAGATGGTCCTTACGCAAGAGCAACGATAATATGGCCTCATCATGACAGGAACACTCTCTAATCACCTCTTAAAGTCTGATAGCGCCTTGCACGTGCAGCAAAGCCCCAATCCTTCCTGCACCAAACCATCTGGAATGGGAATTTGTCTGAGTGTAATGAATGGGTCTGTATGCCACTGCAGCAGTCAGGACCTGAGCCCTGTGGCGATCCACTACAGCCATCTCTTTTATTGTGCTGCTCTTTCCTACCACTATCCGCATCGCCTCTACTGTGTGTGCTGCATTGTTTGACCTTCAGGTGTAGAGAGGGGGAGGAGGGGGAGGAGGAGGAAGTGTGAGAGTCTCATCCCAACATGTGGGCGTTTGAACCGGGTCCGGGGCTGTCAAATCGTAAAAAACCCAACTGGACTCAAATCCCAGACTTCATTACGAGTCCAGTAATCTCTCTGACCTTGAAGTTCTTCTACGGGTTCTGGAGTTAAGTTGTTTAAATAGAATGATTCAAACTATCAATGACATGAGCGGCTTCTGTCCAGCTGTCAGGTGAAGCTGATTTTGGCCTGTGTGTTGTTTCTGTTACTAAAACATCGTACAAACCATTGGACAGGTTTTATTGAAACCTTCAGGAAATATTTATTGAATGAACATCTATCAATCTAATCATGATCCAAAAAAGATAAATAATAATAACTAAAAAAAAACTGCACACTGTCCAGTTTCTGATTGAAACAGCACTCACGAATAGAAGTCAAGTTGTTGTTTTTTTTTCTCCTCGTTTTTACCATGTCCTGAAGATCTGCAGCTAATTCGAGATGGTCCACACAACAAACTTAACTGTGAAAATACAAAATTWGCTAAGTTGTATTTAGTTTTACAGGCACCAAGCTAAAATTTGGTGTTGTAGCAGCTGAGCATCAGTCACGAATAATACTTTAAATATCCTTTATGCTTAGTATTTGTCTAAAACTTTATATACTATTGGTGTCAACATGTATGTGCTTTAGTTATGAGAGTATCAAAGTATATAAGACAAAGTAGACTACACTTTAAATGAAGGTATAATTGTTTTTTGAGTAAAGGAAACTAAAATATTTGCCTGTCTTAAATTAAATTCTTCATCTTTCTTTAAAGTGATGGAAAATGGAATGTGTTTTTTAATACTTCATCAGTAATATGATTTATTGTAAATGTAATCTGTCTTTTTTATGTAAAATGAACAGCTGGTATAGCATGCTGCTGATGCTAATAGGGATAKCAATAAACGTAAACCCTCTTTGTTAGGAAAATATTTAATCAACCACTRAATACACTGTAGTTTAATCAACTTTCAGACAGTAATCAGTCCATCTACAGCTGATTAACTTGTGTAGTCAGGCCAATTCAAGATGTCTGCCTCAGCTAATCAAAATTACYCAACACATCCATGGTTTCATCTCATTTAATTGTTCTTATATTGAGCTAAAACCTCATGTCACAGGGTCACCCACACTGATCCWGCAATAGTCCATGAGACTGAGCATAACATGATTTTTTTTCTCAACATAATATGATCTTAGTCTCAAACCTCTACTGTAAAAGGTAGCATTCCTTCAAGACGTTCTAGGCCTTTATTTCAGTKGTGTTTAAGGTTACATAAACGGTTAACATCCCCAACCGTTCCCATTTGTTGCTAGGGAAGTGCTGCCTGTTGTGCAGGAAACCGGGAGAGCAGTTTCCTGTTATGGAGAGAGGTTTTTCAAGAGTTGCATTCATTTAATCCTATAACAGATGCTTGCTCAGGAAGTTGAGCCAGAAGAAGAAAAAAAGCTTTTGGTGTCCTGGAGAAACAGTTTTTTTGGAAACTGCTTTTAGGAACCTTTCTATGCACTGTGCTGGGTCAGGAAATACTGTATATAGTCCAAGAGCAAAACATGTTGGGGACAGCTGTGAGGGGGGGAAACAGCCTTTAGTTCTTATTGTGTTACATAAAAATGTAAAATACAAAGAAACTCATCCTTGTGAAGCTTTAGCAGTCAGCTGAATACTTAATTTWTCTGCAAGGGTTTTAAATTTGCAACTTTTTGTCAGTCAGAGAGGAGACATGCCATCCAACCAAACAGGAAGAAAAATAATGTGCAAAAACACTTCATCAGACAATAAACATGAACTGTGGCTTAAACATTTTAACTTATTGCTCAAATCATTCTTTTTATAAGATTTGTTGCCTTTTTCTTGACCTCACTTTGTACACATGGGTTAGGGCAACATTTTTACCACACAGAAGGTCACCTTTAATTTATTAAAATAACAAAGGGTCACRCATCAAATTAATGCGTCCAACATCATATTTGTTTCATCTGTGACAACCAGTGTTGTATACCTCAAAGCAATACTTTAGTAAGTTAGCACATCATAAAACTACCTTTGGTAAAAGTTTGAGTCTCCTCTACGAATACAGTATAACTTAGCAAGTCCTAAAGTATCTGACTTATTTTGTATCAAAAGTAAATTTCAGCCAAAAAATGTATCTAGTTATTAAAAGTATTGAGTAAAATAAGCGGTTAGACCTTGCAAAATATATGTTTTGGGAGGCAAGCAGCTGTGGTGCATTGTGTACAAATTAATATGGTGTCAGAATGGTACATATTTATACTTCTCATCCAACCACAAATAAAATCACTCTAGAGACACAATTTATTTTTTAATAAAAACAAGCCGGAATAAAAGAGGAGTAATGACTTTCTACTTCATACCTTGGTAAATAATGTAAGGAGTAGAAACTGAAAATAATAACTCAAGTAAAGTAAACATAACCAAAATTTCTACTTACAGTAAGTACAGTAACAAAGTATTTGTACTGAGTTATTTTACAACTTTGGTGATAATTGTGTCATTATTTATCAGTAATCTGCATAAAAAGAGGGCAGGGGGCGGTGGGTGGAAAGTCATTTGACTACCCCTTAAAAAATGGTGCCCCCACACTGCCCCCACCCACCTGTCACCCTGGCCTGACAGTTTTATCCTTTTGAGTTCTAAGTTGTTTGCTTGGTGTGCATTTTTTATGTTCCCTGGCTATTTAGGATTAGTAAAACCTCGTGAAAAATAGAAGTTCAAAATACAAACTTATAACTTATTTAAGATTGAAAACAAAACATGACATTTTGTGCAATTTAGCTATTTAGTTAACCTATTACCAATCATTGGTGTAGGAAACTGGAGTGCCCGAAGAAAACCCATGCCTGCACAGAGAGAAGATACAAACTCTACCCAGAAAGGTCCCTGACCCGGCAACCTCCTTGTTGAGTGCAACAGCTCTACTAACTGTGCAACCATGCAGCAGACAACTTTTAAGAAAAAATAATACAAAATAAAAAAACTGAAATAAACATGGAGCTGATTCTCTAACTCTTGTATTTGTTAACCAACCTAACAAATCTGTTGAAGTTATTCTGTCATATTTTCAGTTAAACAAATAAATAATTCTTGGACATGACCGGTCAAAGACCGGATTTAAATTGTCCATGGACCGTCTCTGGCCCTCGGACCGTATTTTGTCCATGTGTGCTGCATACTTCCATACTATGAGAGGTAACGTGAATTGAAAAAAAAAGAAAAAGAATAAAGAAACATGTTGAGTGGTTGGAGCCTGACGTGTGCGCAGCGCTGAAGTCCAGCCTCAGGAAGCGCCCAGCAGCACCTCCCGTTTCCACAGAGGAGAGGAGCGCAGCCGCGCGCGCGCTGGAAGCTGGAACATCACGAGGAGGAGCGGAGATGCTGCTCGCTGCTGGCTGGGAGAGCTGAGCCCACTGCTGCGAGACAACAAGCCTCTGACAAGAGGGGAAAAAAAGTCTCCAAGCACCGAAGAAGACAAAAAGGATGACTTCTCTGCTCCAGCTCCCAGTCGTCACAGCGCCTGCGRTGCGTTTGGATTAAGTTTCAGCTCCAGATTTGGAGGAATCCTGAGAAATGAGGACAAGTGTCTGCTACCGTGGATGATGATGATGATGATGTCCCACAATGAGCGCAGGTTGGTTGTACAAATAAAATGTTCCCTTCAGAGAGTTCAGAAAGCAAACTTTGTACGCAACGCTCGTGGGGTGAAATGATCATTTCTGAAAAGTTAGTTTTTTTGTTTTTTTTTGTTTTTTGTTTTTTGTTTTTTTCCCGTAATTTGATGTGTTCTAATTAAGAAGTGGGAATGAAACCAGTTGCGGTGCAATACACGAGACATTGGCTCTCATATAAAAGTAAAATGCCAATTAGAGTTTGATAGCTTTTTTTTATGTTGCTCCGGAAGTGTTTGTTTTCAGTAATAAGATAAATGAAACACAGGGAAAATCCATRACTGAGGAAAACATTTGAAAGAGACCTAATTATTTGTTAGATAGGTACTTTTTCACAAGGATGCACAGGATTAAAATAACTACTTAATATTTGTGAAATTAGACAGAAAATATTTTAGAGGAAAGATTGTGTGAGTGCTGTTTTGGCTACTTTCTGAAAAGTGAATTTATTTTTACACAATATGTTTCGATCAGAATTTTCATTGTTGAAACCCTTTTCACTCCTCTCTGAAGATTTTCCCCTTCAGATTCCAGACAGGTTGTTTTGTTTTGATGGGTGACATTCAGAACGAGAGAACACAGTGTGAAATCATATCCTGTAAGTTTGGCACAGTCAAGGTTCCTCTGCCTCTTCCTTTGTTTCACCAAACATTTGTTTTAATTGAATTCTTGTTGTATAATTCATATCCTGTTGTTTGCAGTTTGGCTGCCTTGTCAGACTGGGGTTCTTGTTTCTCTTTTATTGTTCTTTGGAACACTCAAAGTGCTGTTT